CAGAGTGATGCAGGCTGTCCCCCTGCAGCCCATGGAGGAAGGATGAGGGCGTGTAGAGATTCCATCTGCACCCCATGGAGGACCCCACGCCGGAGCAGGTGGAAGCACCGGAAGGAGGCTGTGACCCTATGGGAAGCCCACGCTGGAGCAAGCTCCTGGCAGGCCCTGTGGTCCCATGGAGAGAGGAGCCCAGGCCAGAGCAGGTTTGCTGGCAGGACTTGTGGGAGGGACCCACGCTGGAGCAGTTCGTGAAGGACTGTAGCCCGTGGGAAGGACTCACGTTGGAGAAGTTTGTGAAGGACTGTCTCCCGTGAGAGGTACCCCACGCTGGAGCAGGGGCAGAGTCTGAGGATGAAGAAGTGGTAGAAACACCGCGTGATGAACTGACTGTAACCCCCACTCCCCATCCCCCTGTGCTGCTGAGGGGGGCGGAGGTTGAAGCCGGGAGTGAAGTTGAGCCTGGGAAGATGGGAGGGGTGGGGGGAGGTGTTTTAACATTTGATTTTATTTCTCATTGCTCTACTCTGTTTTGCTTCATAATAAATTAGATGAATCTCCCTTCTAAGTTCAGTCTATTTTGCTCGTGACGATAATTAGTGAGTGATCTCTCCCTGTCCTTATCTCAACCCACAAGCTTTTCGTTATACTTTTTCTCCCCTGTTTGGTGAACGAGGGCAGTGATAGAGCAGCTTTGGTGGGCACCTGGCCCCCAGCCAGGGTCAGCCCACCACAGAGACTCATCAAGAACATTGGCCTTTACCTGTGAATTGATAGAAATGTCCAGCCTATGGTCAAGTGCTTTGTAATTTACATATTCCTCAGATCAGCCTGAAGGCCATACTGAGCAGAGGTAAAGTTGATGTCTGAGGCCTTTGCTGCCTCTGGTGGCAACACCTGGGGTGGATAGTCAACTGTGAGATCTCAGTGCCAGCACCTTTGCAGATACTACTTTTAGTTTATAGACCACAATGTTCCTATTTGTCCAGCATTGATATTTCAGTTAAAAAAAATTAAAAAATCTGTTTGGGAAACTCTGAATCTAACCCTTAGATTTACTTTCAGCTTTAGAAAATGGATGTCATTGAGATTTTTATATATACTTTCATATGCAAAATTACAGGATAGGGATTAGTGGATATTATGACTTCAAGAGAAAAACATTAGATGTTTGTTCTCTCTGTACATTTTTGGGACTTCTGTAGAAAAGTTGAGTAGTTCCTAGATTAATAGTGGAAAGTGGAGCATTCCCACTCAGAGGGAATTGTCCTGATCCTGATGTGTGGTTGTCTAGATTGGGGCTGTGATATATACCCCTGATGCACCTTACTAGCCTGTTAGTCACTGGATATATTTCTCTGATCCCTAAAAGGGGATGCCACCTACTGTTATGAAATAAAATATTTAAAAGGTGAATTTGCAAAGTACTGGCTCAGCTTTTCTGTACGGGTAGCAATATTAAAACCTGTTACCTGCTACCTTTTTAAAATCAACATCCTGTGGAATGCTATGGAATACTTTATTGAACTATTTGCAAAGTATCTTAACAAAATTTCAGATCCATACCTCCAAAGCAAGTAATAGCAGTTGTAGTCTTGTTTAACATGGTGCTAGTTGTGTTGCCTTCTGATTTGACCTGAATATTAACACTGGGTGGTGGGTATATACATTGATGTTGAAGGCACATCTAGGTGTGTTAAATACATGAACCTCACTCTGCTAGGCAATATGCCTACATATATTAGATGGTGCCCCCTGTGGCATAATTTATGGTTTATTTGCAATGTAAACAGGCTTATCTGTATTGCAGCTAGCCTGTGAAGTTTCATCTTCATTTAATTACGCAACTTTAGTGTGAAAACCAGTTGTGTCTTAGAAAAGGTAAAACATTTTCTGTGACTTCTCTTTTGGAAGAAGCTGTTATTGGGAAGCAATTTGGCTCTGTTCTATTGAACAGCCAGTGAAAATGTGAATTTCTGGGCCTGGAGTGATTTTTCTGCTTACCTGCTTGCTTGTCCACAACTTTTTTCATTTGGGTTGTGCTAGAAATCTCAGTTCTTCCCAAATGTTGAAAACTCAGAGGAGCAAACAGCATAAAAGAGTCCCTGATCTGCACATAGTGATAAGAAAATTCACCGCGTGTTTTGTTGGCTTGGCTTCCACCTGGGAGAGTGGAAATCCTCAGTGGCTTTCTTTTCCGTTGCTCCTGGGCACACCCCTTCAAAAAAACCAAAAAGATACAGGTGAATTTATTGTGTAGATGATCTGAACAGGAATATCTTTCACTGTTGAATGAAAGACATTAACAAGGCAGTGTAGTAAGATTCTCTGTCTTAACAGGAGTGGGCAAACAGATGGCCTACCCTTGAACTGGTGTAGAGCTATGTAAGATGCTGAATAGGAGGCAGCTTTATTTAGGAAGACACAATAAAATCTTTTTGGCTTTTCTCCATGGATGCTAGACTGTTTGAATGATGGACATGGTTCTTTTGTGGATCACAGCTTCCAAGGGGACACTGCAGATTGCATTACTGCAGTGCTTGTC